CCCCCCCCCGAACGAAATGAAATTTATATAATTTATATAGAAAATATATACTTTTAACAGTGTCCGCCCCCCCGAAGAAAGTCTACCGCCCCCCCCCCCCCGAAAATTTCAAATGCCCCCCCGGAGAAAAAAGTCTGGAAGAAACACTGGGAAGGTAACAAAAAGTTATAGCGATCTATTTTGGTGCCAAGGGCGCACTATCGACTTTGCGCCCCTCCCCAAATTAGGGTGAAAATTTAAAAAATGTACCCCCACCTCCCTAATTTATAAAGGTCGGGGCGCTTTTGTCAGTCACTTTCTATTTTTTTTAAGTGTTGGTGTCAGATATTTTAAATGTAGAAAATAATTAAATAAGTCTGTAATATCAAAAAGCAGTCTGTGTTATTTACTTCGACTGTATATACTTCAATAATGAGCTTTTTATGTTATTATCTACCACATTTGGCGTCCATTCGGGAGAGAGTTCCAACAATTAGAACAGCATAATATTCTATTTACCTTCATTTATGATATATCCAATATTAACAATCACAAAATGTACTTCTCTACATAGTACAAATAAAACTGGAATGTTCTGTACCAAATGTTGTTGTTTCCTTGAGAATACGATTAACACTTCTAGTGTGTGTTGGCTCGTGAAGACTGCAGTTTTTTTTCCAAATTTGCAATGCGGCTAAGGGTGTGTGTGGAGGGGGGAGCAAAATCCTTGATATACTTGAGCTTTAGTGTCAAAGATAGGCAAACCCTCATAACACGTCAATGACTTATCGCCCCTCTTTTAAAAGTCTAACAGAGGTGCTCAAATAGTTCATTTTAATATATTTGTTAAAAGAAAATTAAAAAGAAATATCTTCTCTTAATTATTATTTTAAAACAGAATCCCGAGGAATGACTAAAAATGGTATTATATATCTGGTTATATATAACTGGTCTGGGCGTTCCGCCACGGCAGTTGATGTGTTAGCTGAGGATGTCGTTGGATTTATGGCAACATCCATTTCTTGTTCAATGTTCTCAAGATCTTCCTCAGTAACTATTTTATCAAGAGCCCATATATGGAAACTAACATAGATTTACATTTTTTTTCTTTTTACAGCCATCTGCTATGTCTTTCTCATGGTCTGACGGCTCTTTTGATCCATGTCGCCTTGCATATAGAATGCTATACAAACAAGAACTAAAGAATACGTTACTCTCAATGAAAACGCACCCAGAATAATGAAAATGCGATCACAACTTAGCCTAGATAGAACATTGGCCAGTGCGTCCCGGCCAGTGCGCGCATTGGCCGGCCAATGTACGAAATACAATCTTAGTGCTAAGCTCTTCGGGCTTTGGCCATGAGCCGGCCAATGCGCGGATTGGCCGGCCAATCCGCGCTTTGGCCGCATTTCGGGCTTTGACCGTAACATATATATATATATATATATATATATATATATATATATATATATATATATATATATATATATATATATATAATTATTTCAATATGGGCACGGAAAAAATGGGGGGGGGGGGGGGGGGGTCAGCGTTTTAATACGTTTTGCCTAGGGCACTAAATAACCTGGCGTCGGCACTACCTGTACGGTCAAATATGTGTGGAGATAGTGTGCTTTTATTTATATTTCTTACGTTACATGTAATTTATTACATTTCTGTATTATCGCACTATTGTAGGTTTACAGCAGCTTTTTGCAAAACAATCTAAGCCATTTAAATACTTTACATTTTCTTAGCCGCTATTTATTTTAGCAATAATATTATTATTATGTAATACTAAGCCAAATGTATATCATTTTATCATATGTACTCTCCTCTTTTCATTTTCTTATATACGCTAATTTCTAAAATGTGTAATATGTGCATCTAAAATATATTTATATATATTTCGTTATTAAACGTCATTAGTAAATATTTTTATCATATACACATACTTTTGGTTTGCGAAAAACGTTTACATTTAAAAGGAAAGACTTTCCATTTAATGTTTTTTCCTTGTTCTTTTATCCATGTGTAATTTTGTCTTGGAGTTTCTTTAGTACATAACATAAAAAACAGTGCATGATCGTTACTCCTTTCTACGTTCTTAAGTCAATTCTTCTTGCATTTTAAACAAACTTCAATAGGAAGTGTTTGATCTTCGTTCGTAGTTGTAGTTGGGTCGTTCTGAAGAACTAATTATTAAAGTGATGTCGTTTGGTTTCTAGTTTTATGAGAAATCGAAGTATCTATGAAAAAAAAAATTGCTGAGTTGGTTTTGTAGTGATGATGTAGTGGGTCCTGTGTTGTTGAGGTATGGTAGATAGCTTTAATTTTGTCGTTGATGGTAGAATTCATCCTATGAAGTGTAGCTTGTGGTAGGTTGGTATGGTGGTATCGTTGTGCTGGAGTATCGAGATGAGATATCGAAGTGTGTTGTCTTTGGTCTTGTGTCGGTATGAATCATTGAGAATTTTGGTTTCAAAAAGGAGCTTAAAGATTTGAGGAGAGTTGATAGTATTGGAAGGTTGGGTAATCTTGAATCTTAAAGACGCATTTTATCCTTGATGAGTTGATATGAAAGTTTCCCGGACGAATAACCCAGTAACTAGGATGTACACTTTAATCTTAGTCAATAGGCCGATAAGCGATATTAGCGATTAGAAAATTATATATTATATCGTCCAATAAAATAACGTTGTAAATAATGAATACTGCACATTTTAAAGCAAATTATTTTATATAAAGGTCTGGTAGTTCAATTGAGGATTATTTCAATTTAAAATACGTTTATTTAAAACAAAACTTACCTTTCCAATATTCATATAATTTTTTTTTTGTTTTTACGATACACTTAAACACAAATGTGTAACACTATTGGTGTTCTTTATTGATAGACTTTAAAAACTATTTTAAGAGTTATTTCCCCTATTATAAGGGATACAACAACTCGCTTCTTTCAGCACTGTGTTGTTTATAATCTTCTATTCAATTTCGTCCTATTCGCAATATTTCCATTTCAATATGGCACATTCACAAATACAATATGTTGAAGGGAATGATTGAAAGAATATTAAAGTAATAATATATTAAACAAAAGCAAAACAAAAGTTAAAAGTGTGCAACTTACGTACCTGAAAAATTATAGTAAGGAACATGTTTAGCAACACTCAAATATTCTAGTCATTTAAACGTTTATTAACAACACTGCCTTAGCTATGTCTCAGGATTTCTTGAAATTTTTCTTTGAACTTGAGGTCAGAGTATTTTTCCATATAGATCTATAAATAGCCGTTGCCACAAGTCTGCTTTGGTCTTCTGTTTCTTGTCTAGTCGTGTTAGTTAAGTGTGATTGATTTATTTGTTGTGGCTATTTGATTGGTGATTTTTAATATTTTCGCAAGTGTTTGATTTGCTTTTTGTACTAAAGTACAATCTAAATAAATGTGTTTCCCAGTTTCTTGTATATTCTGTTTACATGTTTGACACGTAATTTTAACATTATAATTTGATTTGAATTTTTAGTTCCCAAAAATACATTTTTTTTGGGTCAGACATGTAATGTAAAAATGTACAAAGTAATCTATCTTAAATTAATGAAAGTAGGCTACAAGTAAGAAAAAAAGTATTACTAGTGTACATCTGTATCAGTTCTCACAACCTTTTGAGACAGGAGAGCCAAACTTACAATTTACCAAATTTCTCAGTTTTTAAAGAGTCGCTAATACCTTGTTTTCAATATTTTGGTATTTGATAAAGATTAAGCAAATAAATTCATTTTTTTATTTGCAATGTTAAAAAAAAAACACATTAAAAATGAACTATTATTGATTCATATAATAACGTACACTTGTTTCGCACAAACATTGTTTTAGCTAGCTCTGCTATGATAAACTTGTTAATTAGATAATATAACTATAGTACTATCAAAATCCACTTTATCGGAGCCACTAACTTTTTTCCTTCTTTTTTTTGTTTACTGACACCACCGGCCCAGAGTGTCTCCCATAGCCAGGCAGGCCTCAACACTGCCAACTCCGACTAACTGGCTGTGCATCGGTTTGATTTCTGTATCGGTCGCTTCCGTCCTTCGGTTTACAGGGCTTATCTTGAACCCAGTATTTGGCTTAACCGTAGGAAACTAAAAACTAACATACTTAGTCACTCGATTCAAATTAATGGATACTGACTGGTAGTGGAATTTTTTTTTTTTGAATAGAATAACATTCCCCATTAAATTTAACGATATTCGAAAAAGTCTGCACTCCGACAGTGGCAAGCATAGAATAGTCGGCACGTGGCTGGCAACAGCACTACTGTGGGTTTGGTGCCCACGCGGCTGTCTGTATACTTTCTACCTCACCTACTCTTACTGTTCGCTGATGAATGTTTTAGTCCTGTTGTAGTTAAAGGGTTTTTTTCTTTACATTATGATATTTTTTTATGAATTTTGAAAATGAAATAATATAATCTATATATAATCTATAAACGCGCTCCCTACCGTCCCCACCCCTACATGGTCTGGTGAGCTGTAGTTCACTCTTTATGTTTACAAACATTACAAACACAGCCGGGTTTAGTGACGACTATTAGGGGCAGATAATTTAGTTTGAAACGATTTTAAACGTAGGGGGGGGGGGGTAACTAAGTGGAGTTTACTTTAACGGATTGGTGGGGGTGAAGGAGGGGGGGGGGGGGGTTATCGTCCTTACCGAACTACTTATAGTGTTTTAAAGAGATATTTTCAGTGGCAGCGTTGGTAGTGTCGAATTCACAAATTATGAATAACTGAAAGGTAGGAAAAACAACAACTAAATATCGGCGTATGATATGCCGCGGGTCGGCTCGTTATATTTGCGCATGGAACTGGAGAGCCGCACCTTGACATCAAAAGAGCCGCAGGTTGCCGACCCCTGTACTAAAGCGGTTTTAAAAGAAAAGTGAGGATATAAATCCTTAAATATTTTTTTTTTGTCTACTTTAACAAACATTTATTTAGGTATCTTACATCCAACTATTCAACCAACAATTGTCCTTTTCCTGCCTCGTAATCTAACTTCTTCTAGCTTTGCCAATACCTCATGACAAGCAGACTTGTTCTCCATTTCATTTTGATATGAGCTTAGTATTGTTTCAAACAAACATTCAGAGTTTGGATGGGAACTCAAAAATGCTCTCTCAATCACATAGAGGTCTGCTCCTTTACTTTCTGCTGAGTCTTCAAATGAGCTCAGTCCAAAGTCAATAACATAAAGTCTGGGATCAGAAGAATCTCCTTGTAAAAGCATATTGGAAGTGGTTAAATCCCCATGTATGATATTATTACTGTGCAGCTTGCTAAGAATTTTTCCAATTTTTTCAGCTACAGTATGTAACTTTTCATTAGCTGTTAACTTGTCTGTAGATTGGATATTTAAGATGTGTTCTCTAACAGTGATGGAAGATAAAATTTTCTCCATGTAGATTATGCTGTCCTTGAAATTAACCATGAAAATTGTAGGTGTAAGAATACCTGCCATCCTGCATCGGAAGTTAGCCCGCACTTCTGCCTTGATTCTCTGTTCCGTAAGGCTCGAATCTAGAATATCGTGACGGTATTTCTTTTTAAATCTCTCTTTAATAATACATGGTTTCCCATAAAAATCATACGAGTATAATTTTGCTTCAGCTCCTTGCTTGAGTGATATCATTGTTGATTTTGTTTCGGTAACATTGTTATTAATCTTTAAATAAAATAATGTGAACGACAGAAGATGTAGAATTTCAGCGTTTATTTAAGATCCGGCACAAGGTATATAACAATTTATACAACATCTTTGAATGGTTCTTACGTTTTTAAATACAAACGCAATTTCGTTACATTTTTATATCGAAACTTATCTTTTATTTGATATATTACGAACGTATAAGTTGTTATTAGAAAATCAATATAATAATGTAATCGATGTTTACTATTTTTGTACTGTTTAGGTACACTTTAATCAACAACAAAAATGTGTAAGTTGTTTCCCTTATAAAATGTAAATTAAGTTAAGACCCCTTCATTTATCACATCTAAAGCACGGGTTCCCAACCTGGGGGTCGCGACCCCCCTGGGGGTCGCGAAGGGCTTTCTGGGGGGTCGCCAACTGGTATACTAAAACTTAGTAATTTGAAACAAAACATAAATATTTAGAATTATTTTTGGAATTCGGCTTTACTAACATCACTGGAAGAAGCAAAGCGTACTGTACAAAGTAGTTCTCGGTCACGAGTTTATGAAATTTTCAAAACTAAAACGTCATTTGACACGAGTCATTCGAAACACACCAAAAACGATATGCAGTTCTTTCGTCGGAATGAAGCTAGTTGCAAACGTAAGAGACTTGATCGAACAGGAAGTTTTCACCAAGGAAACACAGCATTAGTGCAAGCATCACATGAAGTCGCCACAGAAAATGCCAAGCAAAAAAAAAACTCAATAGGAGAACATCTCATCAAACCCTGCATGTTGAAGATGGTGAAGTTAATTCTTACATGTCCGTAGATGTTAAATAACACATTTTATTGAAATTAAAGGTTTTTTTTTTTAAAATTGGATTACTAAAATGGGTTAAAACGGCTGTGATGGTTTGTACGTATCATACCATCTATGTTTAGGTCAAAATCAGGCTTTCAGAAAGCAGAAAAGATTTAGCTCCCTAACCACTGCCCTCACCAATCGCCATCAAGCCTCCATTGCTAGTATAAGTCGTAAATTATATAAAATCTGGAGCCTTCAAAGAACTGAGCAAAAACATTAATATAGATCACGAGGTTCTGCTCTTCTACACTACAGTACGCTGGCTGTCAAACCAAATGTTGTAAATTGTGTTTTTGAATTGAAATCTGAAATCAAATTGTTCTTGGAAATGCAAAGGAAACAAGACCTTTTGGTATACTTAAAACGACATAGAGTGGTTGGAGAGAGTATCACAGCTAGCAGATGTGTTCGAACATCAACATAAGCTTAACCTGAAGCTTCAGGGAAAATGAACGAATATTATCACTTCCCATGATAATCTCGGGGCATTTTTATCAAAGCTGCAAAATCGGCGAAGAAAATAAATCTTGGAAATATTGTAAATTTGAGAAACACTGCGGTGTGGTAGATGAATCTAATTGTGAGATAATTAAAATTTTGAAAGAGGAAATTTCTGGGCATCTTGAATGTATTGAAAACGAACTGCATCGCTATTTCTCTGAGCTGAAAAAAAAAAGAATCTGCATTGACGCATTACCCATTCTCTTCTTCCCTTGATGTTGCCAGCATTCCCGATGAATTACAAGATGAATTCTTTGATTTGTAGAATGATTCCGCGTAAGATGAAAAACTGCAGACACAATTTTGGTGTAGTATTAACCATTTATATCCAAACGTAAAATTGATTGACTTTTCGAGAATATAATTTTATTTTGAACACTATTTTTCGATTAAAAACACAATTAGGATAATGATAACAGAGGCGTAGCGACACTTCCCGGCGCCCGGGGACATACTTTCAATTTGGCGCCCCCCTCGGGAGCAAATTTTCGATTTGCACCCCCCCCCCTCGAACTTTTCATTTGCAACCCCCCCCCCCCTCAAACTTTCGATGTGCACCCCCCCTCGAACTTTTCATTTGCACCCCCCCCCCCCTCAAACTTTCAATTTAGCGCCCCCCCTAAGGTCGGCACCCGGGGACATATGTCCCCCCCCCTCGCTACGCCTGTGAATGATAATGACATAGGTTGGCGTTAACAAAAAAAATACTTTAAAAAAATTAACCGCGAATGTTTAGTGAATAGTATGCAATTTTACTCATGGTATTAAAACAGTTATCAAGAGTAGTTCATATTGAAAGTCTACTAGAAACACTTATTTTAGTGCTTATTAATTTCCATACTAATTTCGGCTTTTTAATTCTATGGGGGTCGCGGGTCACTTAATTTTATAAAAGGGGGTCGCCACTCGAAAAAGGTTGGGAACCACTGATCTAAAGAATATAATTATAATGTCTTTCTCTTAATTTGTGAGAGCAGCACAGAGATATTAGTCTGAACAATTTCATTTTATTTAATAAGTGTGTAGAGTGTATATGGAATAATTACGTCAAATAATTACAACAGTATTATTCATGTTTGCTTTGTTTTATTTTCCTATTCATTTAATATGGAGTAGTTTAGACGTAATGTTCTATCGTTTGTTTTGTTGTCCGCCGTTCTTCGTTTATTTAATGTCTGATTTAAAATGTTTTGGGTGGATTTACATTTGTTCATTTATTTTGCAATTTTGATCACTAGTATCATGTAATATTTTAAAAAAATATTTTCCTCCACTTTTCATGAGTTTTTGACGTTACAAAAACAGCAATGGTGTGGGTAAGATATAACATTTTCTTCATCTCTTCCGATTGTTTATGATATTATTTTACAGCTAAATAAAGAACTGCGTAGTTGTACACTTGCAAGTATTGATATATAGGCAGCTCCTGAAGCAACGTTTAGACATTACTTACCACCTTTATCAAGACTAGGCAGTATATTTGCATTTCACCTTTCAAGGTCCATGGCAATGGAGACGACATGATCTATATGTAAATAAGTTTACTTGACACCGATCAAATTAATGCCGTAAATATTGTCTCAGAGTACTGACCATACAACCATCGTATATTTCAAGGTAAAAGAAACATGAGATGTCTGTCTAAAAACGTTCCGTATTTTTACTTCCTGTGTACAGAACCACAGTAGTAGATCACAAACATACATCGTTGTCCGAATCATCTTCAATAGAATTTTGATCCTACACTGAGGTGACTAACTTTACTTTTTACCTTTAATATTTATCGTCTGTATCATTCATATCCGAACATTTCATTAAACAAGTTTATGTATTATTTGTAGCAGTTTGGATACAAGTTAGGATGCTTTTCTTTTATAAAACTTCTAGCAGATTAAGCTAAAAAGCCATCGTTGGTAACAACCGCTAAGAATTGTGTCTGTATTTAAAGTAAAAAAAAGTGATTTCAATAATGTTTGTGGATTTGAGATCAAAAGAAATATCGTAAATGTAAGAAAGGTGTTATGACGATACATATGATTCAACTAATTACATTAGATGTAATTAAACCATATATTTTTAATATATATCTCAGACATGTAATTATCCTTGTCCAAAACTATTCCGCAATTTATATTGCATTACTATACTCAATATTCGACAAACGAAGACTGTCGTAGATTCACATTGATAGATACTAATTTTCCTCTAAAGGTGTGTAGGCCTACATATTTTTATACATAAATTTTGCAAAGTAAAACTCCATTTATGTAAATAACAAATGATGTTATTTTCATTAAAATTGTAGTGATACAATTTTCCTGATGTCGGAAGGTGTACATATATTATCAAGGGTGGCTGTTAAAATTAGAGAGTTACGGTAAAACATATTGTAAATCATATCCTCCCATGCCGATTATCGAAAAGTCTACATATATCACACTCCTTTTTTTAAAAATCATTTTAACAGTTTTTTTTTAATTTCTTTATGTATATTATTATGTATGTGAGTGTCAGTTTTATACACTATAATAAAGTATTTATTTTGGTTTCGTTAAGTTTGGCTTGTTTTTATTGTTGCCGATTTATGTGTATGGAAAACACGAATTCATTTGGCTAGTAGTTTATTATGTATACATTATCGTATACAAAGTATAGTGAAATAATTGTAATCGTGCAAAAAATCAAAATCGAGATTGTCTCAAATCGCGATTTTTTACACTCCCTGAGTGGGAAAAATTTAGTTTTGCAATTTTGTCCGTATGTGCGTGTGTCTGTCTCTGTGTTTCTTTGTCTCTGTGTCTCTGTGTCTGTGAAAACGATAACTTTAGTACTGTTACAAGTTTATGCAATCTTATATATAAGTATCAACGTTTTAGCGATTTCCGATGACCAGACATGCATTTGTTTTCTACTTTTGGTTTTTCAAAATCCTTTAACTTGAGTACTGTTTGAGATAGATTGACGAAATCAAAGTAAAATATCCAAACTTCTGCCTTCTGTCAAATTCTAAATTCTTTCCCTTTACCGGAAGTAACACTTAACGTTTTTTTTTTATTTCTCAAAAACTGCTCCGAACTATTTTACACTCATTGTTTGCTGTTTTTTTTTTTTCTACAATGTATTCAGTTTTTAAAAGTTTAAGTATCTAAAAATGGTTAAAAATCATGTCTATATCCCGAGTTGCCATATCCGTAGTATTCTATACGTATATTCAAGAAAGTTTAGGGGATATCACTCCCGCTTTATTATTTTGTGTTATCAAGTGTAGTTGTCAAGAACCCTATTATATAATATACTCAACATTTCAGTTATTTTTTTCCCATTATTATTTTTTCCGTTGCTTGTAGGTGGAGGGAGTAGACGGGTTTTCTTTATGTGTATTGTTATTTCAGGGGTGGAGGTGAATACTGTTATTGTTACGTGTCGGGTTAAGGCTTGGTAAGTCATTGTTTATGGTGAGTATGTGAGTTGTGTTCAGCCCCACGTTGTTGTGTTATTCCCCTTAGACCAAATGTTGGTATTCAGTTTACTAGGTGTGTGAACGAGAGTTGATAGGTTGATTTGGACAGAGGGCTAGGCGAATATATTACGGGTGTAGGGCCGGACTAATACTGTGGTCCAAAATTTGTGCAGTTTGTTGT